TTGAGTTGCCATCCCTGGATGTGTTCAAGTGTCGTTTAGATGTGGTGTTGGGTGATATGGTTTAGGGGTGACCTTGTAGTGTAGGGTCAATGGTTGGACTCAATGATCCCAAGGGTCTTTTCCAACTTGAATTGTTCTATGATTCTATGATTCTATGATTCTATTTTTGAAGTATCTCCAGAGGACGCATGCAAAAATGTCATGGCGGACTGACAAGCCTCTGAGTTTGCATCCAACCTAGCTGCTCCAGGGCTGGTAAGACCAGAGCTATCATCTCGTCCCCCGAAGGAGAGATGGCATTTCATGGAGCTAAGGCACATCAGGATGCATTTATCTGCTCCGATATGGCCACTGATAGCCAGAACCAGCAGGGCTGGTTGAGTGGCCCCTTGGGCAGGAGCCAACCTGTGGGCTGTAAGTTGGACCACAGAGCTGCAGAGAGCAGAGAAGTCATTAGTCAAGGGAAGGGAGATAAAGGGAAGGTGGGGATTGCAGTGCCTTGGGCAAACAGTGCCTTGACTGACGTGGGGCAGTCCTCTCGCATGGCTGTGCCCGGAGCCAGGCTGACAGCACTTCAAACAAGTCAGAACAAAAATGGGAGTTCCCGGAGATGCACGGAGTACTTAAGCACTTGCTTTACATTAAAGCTGGCTACTGGGGAACTTCTGCTGGGTCCAGTGGTATTCTTCACAGTGTTAACCATATTGGATCTTACCTGTGGAAACCTGAGTGTGAACTTTAATTCCTGTGTTAGAATATTGCCCAGCTGTTTTCTTCTGCACAGGGCCAGCAACTGGAGTAGAGAGATGTTCATTTTTAGAGCTTTCTTCATCTCAGAAAACCTTCAAGGGGTAAATAAAAAAGGTCCAACTTTGCCATTCTTCATTACAGTTGGTATTTTTGCATTACTATAGCATTAAAAAACTCCAATTCCATGTCAAGAAGAGGTGAAGAGTGGAACACAGTGATGCCCAGTGAAGTTCCTACAAGATGGGAGAGCCTGGGGCTCTGACTCAAGGTTCAGTGGTTCAGTGTACATCGGGGGCAGAAGCCTGCATTGAGCCAGTGACCACACCGGGACAGAGCGATGGATATTTGACAAGAGTTTCAAGAGATGAAACTCTTCACGACTGTGCGTAGACCCAAGGATTGACTCCCCAAAGTCCTATAGTTATCACAAAATCACACTTTTCAGTTGATTTGGGGACCACCTGAAGATACTTTGTGGCTTTCCTCAAGGTTTCCTACAAAAGCCTAAGGAAAACAGCTTTATTGAATCATAGAATCATAGAATGGCCTAGGCTGGAAGGAACCTCAGAGATCTTTTAATCCAATCTCCCTGTCATGGGCAGGGATGCCTCTCAACTAGATCAGGCAACACATGGGGACCGAGTGGGGATCGAACCCGCGGCCTTGGTGTTACCAGCACCATGCTCTAACCAACTTCTTACCCATACCAAGATCTTTTTACTGCCCTACTACAGAAAAATTATGTACTGTGGTATTTATAACCCACTTAGCCTCTCTACACCCATTTTGGCCACTGGAAAGAGAGTGCAACCCAGAATAATTATTCTGACACATATACATATACAAAAGGTTTGGGACAAAACTAAAAATTCCTTACAGATTCCTTCTGGATGCATCAGGAAGTATAAGGGGCCAGATTCTGCCTTTAGTCCTTGCAGATGAATACTGGTGTAGCTCCCTAAAATCTATAAAATTACTCTGCACTTACACGGTGTCATATCAGAAGCTATGGTATCAAATCCAAACCCTGGGAAGTCTAGTTTGGCAGTGCTCACAGCAAGCCATAAAATCCTCTATAGTTAAGAGACAGTGTTAAATCTGATCTTAGAGCCCTGCAAGGTTAGATGCCAATGCTTCCATCTCATGGAGAAAACAGACAACTCTACTTTCTAGTGTCGCCGCGCTATTATTTCCTGAGTCATAAGATGCTGCTCCTTAAATTCCTTGTTGATTCAGGATTCCTTAGTGAATCCTAACTGCCATGGGTCCAAGAGAAGCTATACTAGGGGAGAACTTTGTCCTGTGGAGAAAGAAAGAGAAGACGTCTCCCAAACCCAGCATCTCTTGGCATCTGCAGAGCAGTTTGATGCATTAGAGGTGGCCCCTTGGGAGAAGGTGTAACAGCGTGCTTCTATTTTTGCATGGAATCAGGCTCGGCAGAGGGCACAGTGCTGCATGTATATCAGTGCGTATCTGCCTTCTTACTGTCATTTCCTCAGGGTTAAGGGGGAGACAGAGGATGGCAGTCACAAGAGGGACACAGACAGCCCTCCACAGGATCCATCTCGTTTCCGCTAGCTGCTTGGCTCGAGCTGGCATTTTTTTATTACAGCCCAACGCAGCGTGACAATGCAGCTGATTCACTGCACCGTGGCCGGGGTGAGGGCTGCAATCATGCCATCCCAGGAGTTGCAGTGAAAGTACGAGAGCGCCAACTCCGGCTCTGCTCCCAGCCCAACTTTTGGGACTTGAAAGAGAGGGATGTGCTATGTTTTAAATATTCACGCGCACGCCCTTAGCTCCGACGCTTAAGCTTTCGGGTATTCTAGGTCAGAGCCAGTCTTCTAACCAGCCTGAAGCTATGCTGCACCATGCTGTAATCCTGACAATTTTTTTCAACTGAATGTGCTTGAATCTAGTAATTTTCCTGATGGCTCACCTCCAAGAAAAACGGTGCCCATCATTTGGTAGGTTTCAGGGTTGGGTGTGAGTCAGCTCTGAGTCAGGCAGCAGCTCCAGCTCACAAAGTGCTGGCCCCCCTGCAGTGGCACGACCCCACGGGGCCACGGTCCAACCACGGATAACCGGCACCGTGTGGGAACCCAGACGCTGGGCACTCGCAAAGCAAAGGGGCAAGTCCACAGCCCCACATTTTCGGCTGTTCGCGTGTTGCGAAGCCCTCTCAGCCTTGGAGGGTGGCGGGGCACGTAGATGACACTGGCTGCAAGCAAGGAGAAGGAGATGGGGACCCATCTCGCCCCCTGCGGAGGGGCCCAATTGGGATGTGGGCATTTTCCCCCTCTGGAACCAGGAGGAAGCAGGGCAAGAGTTTTGTCCAGAGACCTTTGTCCCTGGCACAGCGTTTCTGGTTTTATTCATATTTATGTTAAGCAGGGTTGTGTCCCAGCCCTCAGGCAGCCAAAGGCAAAGCCAGATGCCATATTGGAGGCAAGAGTCGCTGCGTGTGTTGTGCAGAGTGGTGTGACTGACAGGTTCCTTGCTCTCTCTTTGTCTTTCTCTCCCCCTTCCTGGTGCTGTGACTGAAGCAACGCCCCGTGAAGCAGTCCCTGAGCGCCTGTATGTGCCGTGAGTCCCACTGGAAATGCCTCCTCCTCTCCATCCTCATGTATGGCTGCCTGGGGGCAGTGGCCTGGTGTCAGCTGGCCAGGGTCACCAAGCTCAGCTTTGATAGCTCCTTCAAGGGCAAGTCCATGATCTACCATGACAGCCCGTGCTCGGATGGCTACGTCTATATCCCGCTGGCTTTCCTCTCCATGCTGTACGTGGTGTACCTGGTGGAGTGCTGGCACTGCCACGTCAAGAGAGAGCTGCAGTACAAGGCGGACGTGGACAGTGTCTATGAATGTATCAACCGCATGCAGCAAGCCACTCCGTGCATCTGGTGGAAGGCCATCAGCTATCACTTTGTGCGGCGAACTCGGCAGGTGACCCGATACCGCAACGGCGATGCCTACACCACCACGCAAGTCTACCACGAGAGGGTCAACACCCATGTGGCTGAAGCTGAGTTTGACTACTCTCACTGTGGATACAAAGACATCTCCAAGGAGCTCCTAGGCCTGGAGAGCTACACAGCCACCAAGCTGAGGTTCACCAAGTGCTTCAGCTTTGCCAACATCGAGTCTGAGAACTCTTACCTGACTCAGAGGGCTCACTTCTTCACCGAGATCGAGGGGCTGGATGACTACATGGAGGTGAGGGAAGGCATGCAGCTCAAAAATGTGGACTTTAAAGAGCTGATGATGGCCTATGGGGACCCAGATCACCTCCCGTGGTATGTGTCCCATTATGCTTTCTGGGTGGCAGCTATCCTGATGATCTCGTGGCCGCTCAGGGTGCTGATAGAGTACCGGACTGCTTACGTCCACTACCATGTGGAGAAGCTGCTGGGCCTGGAGTATACAGCCCCCACCGTGGCTGAGGAGCCCTTGTACCGGTACCGCATGCCCCGAGACGCCACACAGGACAGCACCGAGCTGGAGTGGCACATCTGATCCAACCAGCAGCTGGTGCCCAGCTACTCGGAAGCCGGCCCGATGGACTTGGTGGGACTCTCTGGCTGCACCAGCTACTCTGCTTGCCGGTACGGGGGCTACCGGCAGAACTGCGAGCGGGGCCACAGGGCTATAAGCCGATCGC